CGATGATTCGTCGGTGATGTGATCCGTCAGCGATCTGTCGGTGCTACTTCCCGTCGGTGATAAATGTTGGTTAATGATCTATCGGTGAATTAACGGTGTTCATCCAAACTGTCAAACCGCACAAATCTCCCACACAGCACCGCACCAGAAAGTGAGGTTTAAAACTTTTGCGTTGCAGTTTCATTATTACCAAACCGCAATATGCGGTGCGGTTTGCGGTTTTGAGTTATCAAACCGCGATTCAAACCACACTGCACCACACATTTTGTACATTTTTATTATATATATATATATATATATATATAATTTATTATTTATGTAATATTTTTGGACTTTGAGTTTGATCCAATATGGCAATTGATAATAATAATAAATTAGTTGGACAACTCACAACTCCCATGTCTAATTTAGTTTGAAATTTGTCTCTTTACTTCTTAGACTATTTTTTATTATGCAATATGTATATAAGAATTGGATGTATTGAAACTATTTATTTATTTGGACCAAAGTCACTTTATCGTCAATTTTATAATGTATTTTTATAATTATAATTATTGGATTGTAGGTATAAACCGCATAAACCGTACCGCACCATCGTATTTTGCGATGTGGTTTGGTACGGTTTGAGGTTTATGCGATGCAGTTTGCAGTTTGGAAAAAATGCTCAAACCGCATATGCGATGCGGTTTGTGGTTTGGCCTCAAACCGCACCGCAAACACCCCTATAAAGAATAGTTCCCTTGGTGATCCGTCATTGAAAGCATCACCCATGAATGTTTGTTTGACAAACATTCACCAATGAATCTCTGATGGATTTCACTATTTTCGGTGGAATACCAACGACTTCATCCGTTGGTGAAAGCCCCCAGATTTATTGTGTCAACTCACCCACTTTCGCAATACAGAACTTCCTAACAATTCCAATCTTGCATCCATACGCAAATTCCCAAGCGACCATTAACAAGTAACAACTCGCATACATAATGATATTGCAAACTAGGACTAAATACGTTTAAAATAGCCTATATCACATGAAGGGGTCGACTTTGCGACCTTAACACCAGTTCAGCCCATTCTAGATCCAATCTCCATCATGTTTACCCATTAATATAAGACTTATTACAAGAGTTCTTCTAAAAAGAAGTTCTAGATAATTCTCTTATGATTCTAATGGGTCAAGAATTAACTTAACTAAAACTAAAACCAAATTTATATGAATTTCCTAAAACCGTCCCATGATTCCATCCAAAATCAAATCAATTTCAAAAAGTTCTATTTAAACAATATTTAGAACATATATCAGGTTATATGTTTGACCTACAGTCATTTGTTGTACACATTTTTAGGTTTCTAAAGACATATTGTATATCTTCATTACCTGCTAAACAACTATACTATTAGTATAGTTTTAAGCATACAAAAACAACACTTGTATCAATATATCCTACCACAAAATATTACTATGCTCTTCGATCAAATTGATGGCCTTATGGCCTCCTTCTTTCTTGACGATTCTACATCACTCATTACTACTAGAAACGCATAAAACATGATTTTGATATATGATTCAAGCCTTAAACTATTAAGTTCTTATTACAGCTATTTGAATATTTTCTTAATTTCTTTTGGGTTTTCTTAGAGAATAAATGGATAGAATATTGGTAATTTGGGTGGAGTCCTTCAAGATCATCGATGATTTTTCTGGGTTTTCGGGATTCCATGGAATTAGTTAAGCTAGGTACATGTTATTGGGAAATAGTAGGTTTTATTTTTTTGAAAAAAAATCAGATCAACATATTTAACCGAGTAACATCTTACACACATTTTACTGTTTTAAACTAGGTTTTAATGTTTAAAGTTGTGTCAACTTTCGTTTTAAAACCAAAATTCTGTTTCAAACATCACTTGGGAATTTATTATTTTAAATATATCGTGTGTAATTATCAAAATGATCAATCGGAAATGAGTATTTCAAATATGTTGTGTGTAATCAAGTGGGTATCGATAGAATTTACGAAATCTCATAGACATTTAAAATTATACAAAAACTAATTCCCAAGTGATGTTGGTCATCAAATTTTTATAATTTATTTCGGTGATATTGTTGGTTTCAAACTACAAATTTAGTTCTCTATTTTAAGATGCACTTACTCTGTGATTATTTATGGGTTTGGGTAAGTCCGGGTCAAGTTTAACAGGTTTAATATCGCAAAGCAAAGTCTGTTTTTATAGGCTTGAGAACTTGTTTTTATCTATCCTATAAAGGGGTCAATCTTATCCACAGGTTAACGGGCTTAATTTTTTACACTAAAATACAAACTTGTATAAAATGATAAATAATGTAAAAATTATTCAAACCACATAAGTTTTTTTTCTAACTTTTATTTATATATATATATATATATATATATATATATACCGATATACACAGAGTAAGAAAAAATATTTTAATAAAAATATGGAGTATGTACATTCCTCTCCAAAGATTTATCAACTATTATAGTATTGATTTTTCAACAACAAAATATTTAAGCCATCAAGTATTTCATGATCGATATAGGAGACATAAATTATATATTTGGGAGACGGTTGGTATTCACCCAACCCAAAGCCTCTAAGATTTTTAAATAAAAAAGTAGAGTTATTAATTGTATATAACGTATAATAATTTATAATAATATAATAGACTGAGAGTTCGAATTTTTTTTATCACCCGAGCCCGTCCATTATATTTAATGGTCCAATTAAGCCCGTCCATTTTTTCAAGAACGGTTGTTCAAGCATGTTTTCTAAACAAGTCAAATGGACCAATTCTAACAGGTTGTATTGTCCATGAACAACTCTAGTCCACATATTTACAATACTTGGTGTTGTCATCGTTGACAACATGGACCACTAACAAGCATAACCATCTATCAATAAAAAGTCATCATCAACAAACCCATCCAATTTTTTTAAGAATTGTTATCCAAGCTTGTTTTTCTAACGAGGCGGACAGACTATACCGTCCATGAAAAATTCTAGTCGACAGAATGAAAGAACTGGGGTTGTCGTCATTGATAAAATGGACCACATGCAAGCACAGCGTTGGAATTCGAAAAGAATGAAAGTGTTGGTCCCAAACGGATTACAAGAGTGTTAAAGGTAAGAGAGTTCGAAGGAGAAGAAGTTTTTTGTTGAGAAGAGGAGTCTTCTCAGCTATTCATACCATGGCATTTAATGTAAGTCAGAGGGTACAAGCCACGTCCCAACTTATAATGGAAAGTTTGTCATTTCTCTTCCAATATGCAAGCTTTTGGCCGCATATGAATAGTTGTCTTTCACAAAGTTAGTAAGCACGTTTGGAAACAACAAAGTAACTCCGTACATATATTTTTCTATGTGAGACATAGGTTTGTCCTTTTTGTGCATGAGGATAAGACAAAAACTAATCTTTTAGAGCAAGATTCATTTGATCGCTGACACTTAATTATATCTAAAGATGCTTCAGTGTTCGTTGAGTCTTGGTTAGATTTCACACTTCGATTTAGACATTCTTGTTATTACTGAATCCACTTCAGATCACGAACTGTTATGTCTTTGTCTTCAGCTACTTCTTTGACATCGCTAAAGGTTCCTTTGGTGTGAGTTTTGTATTTGAGGAATACATTTTGTTGAGAAGTTTACAATACATGTTTAGCGATCACTAATAGACTTATAGATGATCGCTGAAACTGAACAGAAGTGGAACAAGCATATTTCACCAAGTATGGAGGGTTATCATCAAATCACTGAGAGAGTTTGGAGCAACAGAAAGTTATGGTGAGGCGGGTAAGATCTTCATCCTTGGATCAATTCTAACTGAAGATCAACACTAATGTGGTGCACCGAGATGCACCAAATCAATTCCCGTGATAACGCAATTTATGAGGTGGGGGTGAGATTAAAGATGATCACGAGTCTAGATCATTTCTTACGCTTCTCATCTTAACTCCTATTCTCACATGATTCTTCATCTACAAGCATAATCTTCCCTCAACAGAAACGCCTTATTGATTAGGCATGAGAGTGGGACTTGCCTCGACTAGGGTTGTGGATTCCCTCTAAAACCGGGGACTGAGCAAGGATAGGAATGGGGATTAGGGTCCCAGCTTATCCCTGTCCCATTCCCATGCCTAATTATGTATGGTGTTGTAATTTTCTGGATATTACTTTATGTGTTTTGGTTTGTGTGGGTGGACATGGACACATGGTAGTATTATAACCATTGTATTAAATTAAATTCGTTTTGGTTTTAGATTTATTGTATGATGTTGTGATTTTATTCACATATAAATATTCGATACTCTATAAAAACAAAATTTTGGAACAAACGATGTTTAAATATGAACTACTATAAGTTTATATCTCATTACAAGTTTAACATGTATAATGTTAAAAATACTCTAGAAAATAGATGCATGATCAAATAACAATAAACATGTCATAGTTGTAAGAATACAGTGTCGGATTTTTGACTGTACATATCATCACACATATTTAAATTATGTAATACAAAAATTGGCACAATCCGCATAAAATATTTATAATATGATGGCTAAACACAGTTCTGTCCACTCGAATCATGACCAATCACGAGTTTTCGTTGGGATCAGGGACCAATTTTATCATGTAAATTTAAAAATCACAATACAACTTTTTCATGAATTCGTTAAGTAAATTTAAAATTTAAAGTGTATTTCGATACTCAATCTGAAAAATCGTTATTTGTGTAAATAAAAATTTGATCGCCCAATTTCGAGATAACTTCTTTGGATCGAACCGGATTTGGGCCTTCTCGTAACAATACATGACGAATTGGGCTGAAAATAGAGTGTAATTGTTATAAATTGGGTATTTAAGGCCCAATTAGCAAAGGGACTTTGGGCCCATAAACACCCGAACCGACCTTTGTGAATTGGCTTGGCTAGGGTTTTTCTTCTACCCTCTCCAATCTCCATATCTCTCTCCCTCTCATCTACACACGACAGACACGAAGCATATACCAGATCGGAAAACCATGGTAGGATTTGAAATCGGCGACGTTCCGTTCAACCCTGACGGTTGGGGTCCACCGGAATCCGCCACCTCTGCTGTCTCTATCCTCAACCATCCGGTGAATGTTCCCTTCGCTCCTTTCTCCCGTTCCGACAAACTTGGCCGTATTGCTGACTGGACCAGATCCAACTATAACAATCCTAATCGTTCCAACAACCGCGGCAACAACCCCGCCGACTCCGCTTTTGATTTCACCACTGATGATTCTTTCGGCGGCGGTCTCAACGCTGACGATGATTCTACCTTCCGCCTCGTCGACGGCAAGCCTCCACCACGCCCTAAATTCGGTCCTAAGTGGAGGTTCCAGAACAATCGCAACCAGCTTCCACAGCGCCGTGACGAGGAGGTGGAGGCGCGTAAACGTGAAGCCGAGAAGCAAAGAGCTCGCCGTGATCGGTTGTACCATGCTAACCGATCTGGAGGTAATAACCCGAGACGCGAAGCGGCGGTTTTCAAGTCGTCCGTTGATATTCAACCGGAATGGAACATGCTTGATCAAATTCCTTTCTCGACATTCACTAAACTTTCATTCACTGTCCCTGAACCGGAAGATTTACTTATATGTGGTTCACTAGAATTTTACGATAAAACCTACGACAGGACAACACCGAAGAACGAACGCCGATTGGAGCGTTTCAAGAACAGGAATTTCTTCAAAGTTACAACTACTGACGACCCAATTATTCGAAGGCTTGCTAATGAAGATCAAGCAACGGTATTTGCGACGGATTCTATACTCTCGACTCTAATGTGCGCACCTAGGTCTGTTTACTCTTGGGATATTGTAATTCAACGTGTTGGAAACAAGTTGTTTTTTGATAAACGAGATGGATCGCAGCTAGATTTGCTATCTGTTAACGAAACATCTCAGGAGCCATTGCCTGAGGCAAAAGATGATATCAATTCTGCTCATTCTTTGTCTGTTGAAGCTGCTTACATAAACCAAAACTTTTCACAGCAAGTTCTGCAAAGAGATGGGAAAAAGGTTAGCTTTGAGGAACCTAATCCTTTTGCCAACGAAGGAGAAGAAGTGGCCTCTGTTGGGTATCGTTATAGGCGGTGGAAGCTCGACAACAATGTGTCTTTGGTGGCTAGGTGTGAGGTTCAGAGTGTTATGGAGGTTAATAATCAGAAATCTTTCTTGACTTTGAATGCTTTGAATGAGTTTGATCCAAAGTATTCAGGTGTGGATTGGAGGAGGAAGCTGGATACTCAACGAGGAGCAGTTTTAGCGACTGAACTGAAGAATAATGCTAATAAGTTGGCAAAATGGACCGCACAAGCAATCTTGGCTAGTGCTGATATGATGAAATTGGGTTATGTGACAAGGGTTCATCCTCGTGATCACTTTAATCATGTGATATTAGCTGTTGTTGGGTACAAGCCAAGGGAGTTTGCTGGGCAGATCAATTTGAATACTTCAAATATGTGGGGAATAGTGAAGGCGATTGTGGATTTGTGCATGAAGTTGAATGAAGGAAAGTATGTGCTGGTGAAGGATCCACAGAAGCCTCAAGTAAGGATATATGAGGTTCCTGCTGATGCGTTTGAGAATGATTATGTGGAGGAGCCATTGCCAGAGGATGAACAGGTACAACCTCCTGTTGAAAATGGTGAAGCTGTTGAAGAGAAAGGTGCTGCAAATGATGTGGAAGAAGACAAGGAAGTTAAAGTTGAAGCATAAAAGGTGGTAATTTCTTTTTGGTACTAGCTCTCTACTTTCCGTTATTTGTTTTTTATACCGTCTTCTTGCTATTTTTTCTTACCTGTGATGACTGGTGGACTGAATCTTTGCGATGATTAATGCTTGATAAAAAAAGTTCAACATCCTTTTTAGTTTTTTTAGTAATTGTGTCACAATTTTAATGTTAGTTGAGCATGAAAATGCATACTCCTTTTGTACCTTGTGTGGGACATTCTGAAAATTATTTGTTGAGCATGAAAATGCATACTCATGATCTACATTTGTTAATTTGTATGGATTGTGATTGTTAGGGAGAGTATTAACGAAGTCTGTGGCTTTGGATATCCTATTCAATCTGGTTTTGTTTCTGTTATGATTATGACTAATATTGGAAAATATCTATCAAACATGGTTGATAAATATGTGCAAATATTTGGAATATTTTGTAGCTCATCCATCATGGAATAGAGTTCACAATTTACTTTTGATCAAGCTGCAATTTTGGGCCAGAATTATTATATGTTAACTCTTATGGCTGAAAAACTCATTTTGAATGACTTTCATCTCCTACCAGAAAATAAATTGTTCAACAAATGTATCATATCAGTACTATTAGAAATTGCAGATGCACTACCCTTTAAGGTAGGGAACCGAGGATAGCTATGCATTCATTCCACCCTCCAGACCCTACTTTCGAGTGGGACGCGGGTTGTGTTTGGTTCTAACTTTTGAATACCAGCTATCTATTGCTGCCCTTCTTAAATTCGTGCTTTTTTTAGGAAAAGCTTGGAGAACAACGGTCACGGAAAATTATTTGTGACACTGCATTCTGTTCCAGAATTTGTTAAAAGTCCTGAACAGTGTAAATACGATAGATTATGCAAACTAGCGTAGTAAAGCCATCCCTTAAAGCAACAATGTCTGCTTAACAATCCCAGAATGAAGAAAAATGATTGATCTTGCTTCATTTAGCCACTAGAATACAGATCTTGCAAAGGATAAATGACCCAGTTAGTGTTTGTGGCACATCTATTGCAATGCCACCAAGGCTAAAGTGGGTACGGCTAGGTAGTCGCCTATCATCGTGATTTTAGAAGAATAGTTATAATGTTCGGTACATTTCTATAATTTCACCATAGTTTGAGAATGGGCTGATATGTTACCCAAACTTGACTGTTAACTGTGCTGGAAAATTGGTAGAAATCAAACCCTGAACCCCAAGGGTAATCCATAACATAACTGTGTACAATGGTGTGAGTCATGCATCATGTTTCAAAGAAACAGCTGCCTCATTGTTGCTTAAATGCAAAAGCATAATCGTGGAACACATGGAGCATATGATCAAACCTATGTTTTGCGTTTGAGCTTATTGAAAAAGCTCTGTTTACCAAGGTATATAAACTAGCTTTATGAATTGCTACTTGAAGCAGTGTTTTAATAAGATCAAGTCCAATTATGTCTCTTATATTTTTCCACTTAAATTTTCAACATATCCTTTTGGGTCCATTTTACATTATCGCTTGCGTAGGTTTTTTCACCAAACATGGCTGGTTTATCATCGTAGCCAGTAACTAGCTTATCTGCTAGGTTGCCAAACATAGCTTAATCCAAGTATTGTTTTAGTTACGATCATATCCGTTAATTTCCCTTGTATGCATGTAATGTCCTTTGATTATGTTTTATGGCCTTGTTTCCTTGGCTTCCTTTGCTTGATCAGTGAACCACATGGATCAGCCTTCGACTTCCAAGATCATATAATCAAGATTTCTTTCGTTTTGTGTCATATCTTTTGAATTCTCGGTTTGTAAATGCCACTGTAACATAATGTACTTTTTATCATTCATTAACAGGTTTCTATTTGGAGTTCGAGTGGCAAAGGTTTCTTCTATCCTGTTGGGCTTTCGCCCAAGTTTTCGCATGAGGATCTCAGATTTTTGTTTGCTTTTCTTTCGTTCATTATCATCAGCGTATGTAATGGATTAGTTGTTTGTGATTTTGGTGTTGTAGTATTTTCTGGGTTTAGGAATGGTCAAAGTTTTAAACCTTGTTGATCTTCATTTTTGGTGAGGATGATGGGTGTGTAGAAAGTCATCTGATTCAATTAAAACTGAGAGCATCTCCAATAGTTATGTTATAATTTTTCTAAAATAGAGTATCAAAAGTTAAAATTTCTAAAAATAAGTTACATCTGGTTCCAACAGCTATTGTATTTTAGCTATTCTACCATTAGTAACATTATTAAAAAATATTCAATACTTCAATTTCCTCTTTTGCTAGAAGGATTTAAATATTATTTTTGTCTCTTCAATATAGAGTTTTAAAGATTTCTTTAAATTTGGAGATATTTATTCTCTTTCTTTGTTTTTTTTATAGTATACAAGATAGCATGGTTGTTGGAATCAAAAAAAAAATGTTAAAATGTTATTTTTCTTCGTTTTAGCATAACTGTTGGAGATGGTCTGGTTATCCTTCATTGCATTAGATTAATCTAAAATTTGAACATCCAAATTAGATCGGTTAGTTTTTGGATAACGATTTAGAATTCAATAAAGTTGAACTAATCATCAAACTGATCACCAAAAGGTTTTTGGTCTAGTGGTATATGAGTCTTTGGCCTTTTAGCAGGTTAGGGTTCAATAATCACCAAAGGTGAAGAGAGTATGTAAGTTTATTTGTTCTATTTATGGTATATAATATTATATATACTTAAAAAAAATCAAACTGATCCAATATAATTACTATCCAATCATCATATTATTATACATCAAATTATCATTCTACTACCATGTGATTAATATTTGATACGGGTGTTATGGGTTGGTTTGGATTCAACCCATTTATTAAATATGTTAAAAATTTTAACTCAATCCAATTCATTTAATTAAATGGGTTGAGATTTTTTCAACTCTACCCAACCTGTTACCTAAATGGGCTAACAGCGGGTTGACTTGTTTAGAATTTTCTTAACTCAACCTGTTAAATAAATGGGTAGAATCTGGGTTGACCCACTTAATTTAAAAAAAAAAAAGACTAGACTATTGAATTTTTTTGAATAAAATACAACACAACCACAAATACAAACAAATTGTTTAAAGTTTGAATAAAACACGACCACAACAAATATATTGTTCAAAATAAATTGGAAAATTTTAAAATATAAGCAACTCGACTTCTACTTTCACCAGTCCCAAAGTTTGGAGGCGATAATGGACTAAAGGATTTTCAATTAAGAATAAAACAAAATAAAAAATTATAATACTAGATATAGTATTAAGAATAAAATAAAATTATATCTATGCTGTCTTATAAAGCATTTGGCTAAAACTCTTAAAAACTCTTAAACTTGTTCATCCCTAAACGATTTCATCTCTATCCGATTTCATCCCATTATGAATTCGTGTAATTAACTCCAGATAAACACAATCAAATACAGAATATACATTTCATTTTAAATATAAAAAATCTAAAATATAATTAGTATAATCATTAAATTCTAACAGAATATCAAAAATAAATTATTTTATTATTAAACTTAAATTAAATTATATATAAAAAAATATATTATATATTATAAATCATTTGACAAAAACTCTTAAAACCCACTTTTTATGCGTAAAGTACTGTTTATTAATGTATATTACTTAAAACTCAAGATTACAAGTAAATTATGCGTAGATACAACTTATTAAAGCTCCATATCTGAATTCGTGTAACTAACTGCAGATAAACACAATCAAATACAGGATAAATATCACATTTTAAATATAAAAAA